GATGGTGAAAACGAGGTACACTTGCTGCACGCGTATGACAACGCGCCCGTGGACAGTCGTCTTGGCCGTGCTCACGCAGCACTCGAGGAGAGGGGCCCGCCGAGCACGATGTGCGACCGGCAGGTGGCGGAGTCACGGCTCGAAGCCGGTCGTTGAGCGATGTAGACGTAGACAGCACGGCCGAGGAGCTCGGAGGACGACATCCGAGTGAATCCACGAAATCCTTGATTTGGAGGGTAGACTCTGGATTCATCAGAAATCTCATAACTCTGGATTCAGGTTTTTCCCCAAACAACTTTGCTGTGAGGGGTTGTCAGTTCTTGCATAGAAACCGATCCTGAGCCAAAAATCATTTCTGTCCTTGTGTCCCACATGGCTCTTCTGGATGCTGGGCGGAGATGATTTTGCTTTGTCTCCTCGTGTCTCCCATGGCTCTTCTGGATGCCAGCTAGGCCGAGACGATTTTGCTTTGTTTGCTTTTTTCACCTCTGTTTTGGGACACTGGGCTGAGATGATCCTGCTTTATCTCTTTTGTTCCGCTTTGTCTTGATGTCCATTCTGGCTGAAATTGATTCTGCTTTGTCTCCCTTTGTCTCCCATGGTTCTTCTTGGGTGACAGGCTGTGATGATTCTGCATTCAAGAAGCACGCAGAGTAGCAGCATCAAACGGTGAGAACGCCGACCAGCTGCTCACTCCCCAACACGGAATGCGTGGAACACCGCCACAGGAGATGGGGATCTCTGTGGCCAACAGCGCGATTACCACCTTGTTCGCGGCCGCGCTGTTGTTCGCCTGCGGCTTCTACTTCTTCTTCCAGCGCCGTGGGCAGAAACTTCCAGTGGGACTTGGGATCGCGGCCGTGACTGACCGGGGGGTTGGAGGGAAGCCCTTGCCTTGTGTGAGTGAGGTTGCTATCATCGACCTGGGCAGATGGCTGAAGATGTGAGAGTGTGCCCCCCAAACTCCCTTGTGGACACAACGAACTTCACACTGCTTCAGAGGCCAACGACGACGGTTCCCCGCTGCTTTGCTCCCTGGGTTGCGCTGCTTTTGGAACCGCATCCATATGCCATATGATTTACAGGTACAACCCAAACCCATCAAAACCCCAAATGCCTGGCTTAGTGGGCAGTACAACCGTCCAGTATGAGGTATATTCATGGAGATTCTACCAGGTAAACTGGCTGTAGGTCATGTCGTTGTCGCAACCCGTCTTTTTCGCTGCTTGCGGACGCGGTCGTTTTCCTCCGAAGATTCGGCAGGAAAATACATCACTTTCAGGTTCGATGAACACTGGCTACTTCGATCTAATTTGGCCAGATCAAGTCCTTTGATCAATCTCTCGAGACCAAAACACTGGTTCACGTCTGACCCTGTACCGAGGTGTGCATGAAAACCCATTCGAGGGTGGGCCCTTGGGCTCGTTTCCTAAACAGGCTGGCTCTTCTAGCCGGTTCTTGACACTTCGGAACATCCGAAAGCCCTCAAAAGCCAAGTAGACTCCAAGGAGGCCATAGGCCCTAGGCTCGTCGTTCGGCCGCCGGCGCCGAGGTTCGGCGGCTTCATCTTCATGGTCATCGGTTTGTCCATTTTGATGTCGACCAACTTGTTGATGCCCTTGCTGATGTTGGTGGGCCCTGAAGGATCTCAGGCACGGCGCCGAGCCGAAGTCCGGGGTGGCCTTTTGGGCAGACCACGCGTTCTTTGTTTGGTCTTGTGACGTCGATGTGGCGGGGGAGGATGGAACACCTCTGGTCGTTGCACGTGAGGAGTCTCTCAGGTGCTTCGTGAAGAGATCTCTTCACGAAGGAAGGGATCCACTCCGCTAGGCACCTGGAAAATACGACTCATTTCTGGACCTTGAAGGCAGGTTTCTTCATATCCAATCCAATCCACCAGGCAGGTGACTCTTGGGGAAGGACTCTTCGACCGAAGGCCAACCGGATCCGGAGGGAATGCCGGGTGCCCGTGGGGGTCGGAGGGCCTCTCGGTTCGGTAGCGTCCGACCTCAAAGAATCGGAGGGCGAAGCGAAGCAAGAGAAGGAGAAAGAGGGCGAAGCGTGGAGAACGGTGGGGGCATTTCTTCTCATTTATATAGCATAAAGCTACAGCAGCTGCTGAGTCTTTAAGTCTTTTTCTCTTTTGCCCTTCTTTGTGGCCTCTACATTCCCTCCAAAGCCGCACCGCTGCCGGACTGAGCGCCGTGCTTTCCAGGGGCGGTGCTGCCGTCGAAAGAAGTACAGCACAGTCGTGAAGATGAGCTCGACTGAGTGAAGATGAGCTCGACCGAGTCCGAGTGAGGCCAGCCTTTTTGGTCAGGCTAACAGTTTGGCCTTCAACCTTGCGTCTTGCGCGCTTACTTGCTCCCACTTCTTCGCACTCTCAATGGATGGTGCACCGAAGGAGTTTTTTGGATCCCGACCACCCACACAAGGAACGCCGCTGCAATGTGCATGGTTTTCGGTCTTTCGACACATGGCATTCTTCCGGTTGTTGGCGATTCCACATGTTGGGTCGAAAGAAGGGGATCCCCTGCAGACACCGTTCGAGGCGCGAGCAAACGTCCAGCCTCTCGCTTGAAGCGAGACGGACAGACCATCTTACTGGATTCCAGAGGTGTTCGATGAAAAACACTGGTTTTGTGGCCCCATGGCTAGACATCACAGCCTGTAGTGCAGGTATGTGCAGGTAACAGTTTGGCGTAAAGCTCGTACTGAGCTGTTCTGTGGGACTTACACCTTCGGCGTCAGGGATCAACGGGTCACCCAGTACACATTGAGACATGTTGGGTCTCTCCTACAGTATCACCTGTAACAGCCAGTAGACAACTACAGCTATCACTATTTTTGAACAGGGTCTGCAACCCAACCATCATCCACTGAGGCCCTGGTAATATTATAGACCCAAGAGACATGTTTATAGGGATCATTTGTGCGTCGGTGACGTGGCTTCTGGAGCACCAGTCTGGTTTTCTTTGTCGGGTTTGTGGGTGGGGTAGCGCAGGCTCGGTCGGAGTGATCGCGTCCTTCTCCGTGGGGTGTCGATCGTCTTTCGATCCTTGTCTTTTAACATGTCGAAGAGCCAGGATGGTTTAACCGGTGGTTTAGGTCTGGAATCCGGGAGGGCCTGGAGTCGCCTCCTTTTTCGCGCATCGGGAGGAAGTCGTCCTTGTGAAGTATATAGATCGATCCCGAATCGATCCCAAAGAACTGGTTCTTCGAGAGGACTAGAAGAACAAGTTTCCCATACCCTTTGAAGAGGTCAGGCGATTGTCTGGCCAGCATTGGTGATGAGAAAGCGGACTAGTGCCCAGGTGAACTAAAACTGCTCATGTTAAGTTTTTGGCTGTTCACCAAAACATCTGCCAATAGTGTTTCCCCTGCAGCTCCTCTTCATCGTGCTCACTGAGCTCTCATGTCTGGAAACCCGTAGTGTGGACAGGAGAAAACATGGACAAGCGAAAAGGCTAAAGATAATGGGTTGGAGAGCGTCTGATAGAGGGACGGGTACCACATGGTCAGGTTGAAAAGGAGCCATTTGCAGTATCTTCAGACCATGAGTCCAAACCTCACCCTACAAACATCTACAAACCATGGAAGGCTTATGTGGCTTTGGACCCACACCCCATGTTGCGGCCTCTTCTGGTTCCACCTGTTGGTCTCCACGGTGTTCGACGTCGGGGAAGGGAAGGGAAGGACCACCAGCCCACCGTTTGTCTTGCTTCGTGACATCGCGGATGACTCCTCTTGCAGCTTGCGGTGGTGGATATCCACAGCATCCTTTTGAGGGTGCCGTTTGTGCCATGGTGGCCACAAGGTTTTGGTCGGAGCTGAAGGCTGACCTTAGAAAGGAGAATCCAGACCTTTCATTCATTTTCATATTCCCCTCATCTGAACGATCTGTGTGAAGAAGGCCCCCAGCAAAGAGATTTTCGGCGCCGGGGTCCTCAAATTAAGGGGTTGGAATCAGTGGCTACATTGGCTTGTGTAGTTGTTTGTATTCTGGTGTCGTGTTTTCTTACCGATTTGCCAGGTGCAATCACCATGAATCATCTTCGAACTCAGTATGACCAAGACCACCGCATCGACCAGGACACCTTGGGACCTGTTTCAGCATGAACGGCACGAGCTGAATCTCCCGGTGATGCCCCGCAACGTCCTTTGATCGGCTTGATTGAGGGATGAGCGCGGCAGCCCGTTGGGGATGCTTCAAGTTGAGCCGTGGGACAGGAATTCAAGACTCCTGGTACTGGTCACAAAGGGGTGTCCATTTATAGCCCCTTGGCCATTAAGGGGTGTCCAGTAACCACCCCTTGAAGGCCCTGGTACATAGATTGTTTGTTATTTTGATGTGAATCTTTACAAGACATGTTTGCGTTGTGTTTGCAGTGTAGCTGATGCCGGAACGAGTGAATAGGAAAACAAACAATTTGAGGCAGGTTCCAGTCCCACTGCGGGAAGGCTGCGGGAAACCTGCGGCACCCGGTCACCAGTCAGCTGGTTTGCACTTGGTACTCCGTGAAACGGAGGTTGCTGTTGAAGAACAGGACTGTTGGACTGTTGAAGAACAGGACTTCCACAGTGGCGTGCCCGATCGGCACACCGTGTGAGCGCATGAGCAAAACAGCAAAAGCACTGCCCTCTTCCGCAACCAGACCAAGAAATCTAGCTCAGACTGACACGCGGGCTTCTGGTAAAAAATATGGGCCACCCATGCACTGATTTACCTACGTTGCAACATCCTAAACTTGTCAAGATATTGCGTGTGAGGGTTGCAGCACGACCTTCCATCTCTGGGCTTCGCTACGCTCAAAGAAAGAAAGACAGAAGAGGCTTCACTACATTCCACTTCAGAAAGGACGAGCGCTCTGCTTCGCTAGTTCCTGTGACAATCCCCTTTGTCTCACAGTTTACACCCAGCTCCCAAAACACCCAGCTCCTAGCCACCTCGAAGCAAGCCACGACCAGGGTAGGAGTCCGGTCGATTCTCTGGAGCTGAGGAACAACTTGTGGCCCGGTGCCAAGAACATTCCTTTGAGCCTTCGGGTGGTCTTCAGCTGGGTCCGGCGCCCCATTTTCCGAGCCATTTGGGTTCCAGCTTGCAGATGGCCACCCAGACGCAGTAGAACAACAAAGATGTTCCTTTTTTGGGGGGGGGATTGTGAAGGTTATGGACACCCCTCCGAGTCTTCTCATGATTCTCCTGGTATACCATAGCCCCTTGGATTGTTTTGACATTGACTGCCCGGTTCTAGCTGTTGCGTCCGGTCCACCTGGCAGTTCCTCCACCCAACCGAGGCCCTGGTTCGGTTCTTCGGTCCCCGCCCTCGGTTCCGAGGCCGAGCGTTGCGACGTGGAACTGGGACAGGCATGGAAGCTACTAGGAACAAGTGCCTTACTAGTAGTAACAAGTGCCTTACTAGTAGTAACAA